TACATGTTTGAAATATTCTGTAATGAAAATTTATTTTTAATGAAAGATATATATATAGTAAGTGTAACTGACAAATTTTATGTAAAAATTAAAAGCAATGCTTGTATATGCTAAACATATAAAAGTTCCAAAACCAGATTACACTCAAATCAGTGGGAAAAAAAGGAGATCAATAGACACTTGGGAAATATAGATACTAAATAATTACATAGGAAAACCTGCAGCTTTATTATAAAGTAGAAATTAAATTAACATAAAAGCATTCCTATATGCTTAAGTTAGAGGGGAAAAAAAATTGTAAGGCCTTATTCTGACTGGAATATTTACTTCTGCACTCACTTGTGGTGCCACTCTCAATTGAGTCTGTCTTCCAGAGGGCAAACTAACAATAGGCAATAATTGTAAAATTGTTCATTCACTTTACCCAGTTTTGTGGGATATACAAATGTTGAAGACATTAGTGATGCCACCATAAAACATGAGTTCTTCTGTAAGATCCTGTAATTATTGCTGCCAGATTTAGGTTACCTCTTCAGACCCTTAATGATTCTGTAACTGCACCAAACAACAATGAGCACATATAAGTACTATATTTAGTCGTTACAACTGTGTGAGTGTAGGTTTAATTATTACATCTTACAGATGAGGGAACTGAGACTTTACAAGTTTAGCTTTACAAGCTAGACTTTCCCAAGATCATACATTAATAACTTATGGGATCAGAACTTGAGCTCAGGCAATCTTATGCCAAAACTTCTGCTCTAATCAATGTTTATAATGGTTACTATGGCTGGGTTGAAGAGAAGGAGAAAGGAAGACACCATGCCTATGGGACACTGAGCTTCTGTGAAAATTAGGAAGCAGTTAAGGGTGATGGTTGAACAACATGATCAACATAACTGATGCCATTGAACTATACATGTGCAGTTGTGTAAATATGGTATATTTACCATAATTTTAAAAAATTACTATCCCCCCACCTAAAAAAAAACCTCTAATAATTTCATCACACTGCCTCTCAAAACTAAAGTGATTTATCAAATATTTGACTTTTCAGTTTCAGACTATCTAATTACTTCCAGATAGCTATTACTACATTACAACTGCACTTTGGTGTAGATTCTAGATGATTTTGACCACAATGCTGATGGGAATAAGCAGTGAAACAGATTTTCTGCTACATTACTGATGACATTGTAAATTGGTACAGCCTTTTTTGGAAGGCATTTTGGCAGCATATTTCAAGAGCCATAAAGTGCTCTTTTTTTTTAACCTAGTTAATGCCACTTCTGGGAATCCTCTAAAGAAATAGTCCAGTATGGAAAAAGCCATAGGCACTAAGGTGATCATCACAGCCATGTTTGTGGTAGGCAACTGGAAGCAACCCTAAATGTTCAACATTTGTAGTAATTAAACAAATCATGGTATATTTACTTAAGCATCCCCAAAAAATGAAATATGATACAATGTCCACAAAGAAAACAGTCATAATGAGTTTTTAAAGTAGGATACAGAGGGCTATATACACTACAATTATAGCTTCTACAGATATAAAAAAGATGTTGTATGCTATCAAGTCATCGAGTCACTTCTAACTCATAGCGATCCTAAAAGACAGAATAAGATTGCCCCACCATGTTTCCTAGGCAGTGATGTTTGTGGAAGCACCCATGGAGCCACTAGGTGTGTTTAAACCACCGATCTTTCAGTTAACAGCCAAGCACTTAACCATTTTGCCACCAGGGCTCTTTATAAAAAGGATAGGGAATAGATCTAAAAGTGATAATAATTAGTTGGTATGATTGTGGTAATATTTTTCTTTATAGTATTTTTCGGAGTTTTTGTAATAGAGAATTATTTCTAATTTTAAAATTAAAATCATATTATTATTTAACATTTGTGTGCATTTGTCTCATAACCCTCACTAGATAAGTGGCTTGGTGATTAGAAGGGAGCTCTGGTGATACAGTAGTTAAAGTGCTTGGCTACCAACCAAAATGTTGGCAGTTTGAACCCACCAGCCACTCCATGAAAGAAAGATAAGGCAGTCTGCTTCCGTAAAGATTTATAGCCTTGGAAAACCCTATGGGGCAATTCTACTCTATCCTATATGGTCACTATGAGTTGAATCAGCTTGATGGCAACAGGTTTGGTTTTTTGGTTGGTAATTAGAGGCAGCATATAGTGTGAACGTTCAGAGTGTCTCATTGGAGGTAATTAAACCTTGGGTACTTTGCAGATACCCCATTTACTGGTTGTATGAACCTCAACCAGCCACTCTTTGTTCCTTAGTGGACTTGGTTGACCCACAAAGTGAGCATTGCAATTTGGAAAGGATAAGTGTGATCTTTGCAGTCAGGAGGACTTCACTGTGTATCTTTGGCATTTCTAAAACAAGCCACTTAACCTGTGTAAAGCTCAATTTCCTCATCCATAAAAATAGGTCTAATGAGATCAGAGTTTGGCACTCCCTTAGTTGCTATTATTGTCAGGTGCTATCAGGTTGGTTCCGAGTCATAGCAACCCTTTGCATAACAGAACGCAACACTGCCCAGTCTTGTGCCATACTCACAGTTGTTGCTGTGTTTGAACCCATTTTTGCAGCCACTGTGTTAATCCATCTCAAGAGGAAGGTCTTCCTCTTTTTCCCTGACTCTCTGCTTTGTCAAGCATGATGTCCTTCTCCAGGGACTGCTCCCTCCTGATAACATGTCCACAGTACCTGATACAAAGTCTTGCCATACTCTCATCTAAGAACCATTCTGGCTGTACTTCTTCCAAGGCAGCTTTGTTCTTCTGGCAGCCCAAGGTATATTCAGTATTCTTCACCAACACCATAATTCAAATGCATCAATTCTTCTTTGTTCTTCCTTATTCATTGTCCTGCTTTCAGATGTGTATGAGCCAGTTGAAAATACCATGGTTTAGGCCAGGCACACTTTAGTCCTTGGAGTGCTTTTTAACACTTTAAAAAGGTCTTTGTCAGCAGATTTTCCCAGTGCAGTATGACATCTGATTTCTTGACTGCTGTTTCCATCAGCATTAGTTGTGGATCCAAGTAAATGAAATCCTTAACAACTTCAGTATTCTTTGTCTTTTGATGACAGCAACAAAGGTAAAAATCTTCAACTGACTTGTCTTTTGTCGGAGACTTTTTGAGCAGCATTTATATAGTGATCTTCTGTCTTCTGGTATACCTTGTTATTCATAATTTAGAGTTAAAGATGAGGAAGAAAAAAAGGTTCCATTATTCACTGTGGCTGGCTAATTTATCATACAAAAATGTAAATACTCATTGTAAAACATTGCAAAAATGGAAATAAAAAATGAGCACCCTAATCACCTCACCCAGAAATAATCATTATATACATTTCATTGTATTTATTTCCTTTTGTTTTTTCTATTTGATTTTTTTTTTAAATATAGAAACAAGAAAGCTCTTAGTAGAACATTTGTTATGCTTGGGGCTTGTTTAACATGGTAAGGTTCATGTTGATTTTGAGATGGTTTATCTTAAGCTAAATCATTTTTAGACTGGATGGAGACCAAGATAGTAGTAAATAACGAGGTAAAGGATGGGGGTAGGAATATCTCTGCCTTAAATAGTAAGAAAATGTTTTCTATAATTGTGATTACTTTTCACAATATAATTTCCCAAATCATGCATCCTGGACTTTTTCAGGACATTTACAATTGTCAATAATTTGTATTGTTTTCATCATAAGTAAGCATATGCCTTTTCACACCATGAGTTGTAGATTTTTGTTTTGAAAAATAATCATCATGCATAAAATTGAAATATAGAAGAAGTTTCCAAAGTACTCAGAATTTCTTAACTCCTGACCTTACCATTTTTAAGACGTACAGGGGTTTTTTGCTGTGTGTGTATTTCTTTTTTAAATCACTAGTTTTGTATTGTCCTCAGGAAAAACATAGAAAATTTATCAGTAGTACACCAAACAGAGCAACAAATACCTGGAAGGACTTTGCTTAAGTGATTGTGGCTATAGGGGCCAGGCATTGATGTGGCACTACTTTGATTTGTGCTACTGTTGCATTCAAATCAGAAAGAAAGAGTATACTTGTCAAGGGCTTAAGAAAATTGATCCCTCCATTTTCTGAGCTTTGCTATTCAAGGAAGACTTCCACAAAATGACTTCAAAAGTGGGAAAAAAGGTCTTTCCCTCTTCTTCAGAGCAGCGATAGAATTATTTAAGGTGACAGGATATCTACCATAAACATAATGTTGAGTCTGGCCTATCTGTCATCACCACTCCATTGAGGAGGAGGAGAAATGTTGCAGGTCAGTGTATTGTCTTGTCTCGTCATTCTCCTTTTAACAAATCATTATACATTGTGCTCCTTCGACTTCTGAGCCAGGCTGCCACAGGCAAGAGACACTTGATTGTTTGGGAATAGGTGTCCCACACTTGTGCTTAATATCTGCACATCAGGAAAGTTATTTGTCCTTCTGAGTCATTTCTTCTAACAAGGCTGAGCCATAAACCTTTACCAGTACTTGTTAATTAACCTTCCCAACCATTTCCTTTTAGAGGAAAGTCATTTGACCTCTTACCAGCCAAGAAAACCAAACCTAGAGCACAATTGGAGGATTCAGTTTAGAATTTAGTTGACTTCCACAGCTTTACAGAATACTTATATGCAGACAGGTTAGTAGAATCTTAGAAGTGCCAGGTGAGAATGGGACAGATAGCCATAGGCATGACATCTTGTATTTTGAATAACTGCAGCCACTCCAAAATTGTGCTTTGCCTAATATATAACTATGAAGAGTTGAGTGTGATCTGAGACTTTTGAGTATTTTGAACCATCAAGGGAAATGACATCCTGAGCAATAAAAAGGAGGAAGACAGAAAATTAGCTGACCGCATACTGTTCTTAAGAAGGAAGATGATCTGCTTTACTTAAATTACTTTACTTTTTTAACTTTTTCTATAATTGATTATTGACAAAAGTGATTGTATTTTTTTCAGTATTGCCTGTCGGGGCACCCAACTTTACCATGCAACGTGCTCAAATTCAAATCAACCACCATTATGTTGGACTGTGGACTGGACATGACTTCCACCCTCAATTTCCTTCCTTTGCCACTTGTTCAAAGGTATGCACTGATGTGTCTCAAGACAAATGAACTTTAGTTTGCTGAAAATGGTAGCCATTAGTGTAAAGATTACTACCAGTACCTTATGTATTGGTCTAGTATACTTTGTTCTCTTAAAAATGTTCTCTATCAAAATAATTTCCTTTGGCTGGGTTGATGGAAAGTATTCTATTGATTTATTGACTGACTTCTTTATTATAACTTCTTCTGAGCATCTGTAAAGTGTTCTTGCAACTGCTTAGTGCAAGTGAGGTCATATATATTTCATCTTTCTTGCTAATTCATGTAAGAGCTGATAAATGGTCAACCAGGAGCCCCAAAATTGAATTTGAGAATCATTTAACTGCTTTTGCAGCACCTTGACATCATAGGATCTGACATTGCTTTTTGATAGTTATCTTTGCATTATCTTCTTACTAGCCAGTTTTAGATATGATAGAATCATGTATGTAGCCAAAGTCCATGTCTTGGAACAGATAGATTACCCCAGGCCTGGAATCAGCACTGTTTACTTTTACTAGAACTTTGCATTATGAAATTGATTCCCCAGCTTGCTGCTATTTAGAAGCAGTAATTTGTAAGAGAAATGATTAACTTTTAGAAGCAGATATACTCACAGTAGCAAATAGTTACATCACATACAAGAGGGGAGATAGAAAAGTTACCTAAAGCACATTTAAGAGCTCAAAAGCATAGCAGGCTGGGTAAGCCATCTAATGTAGCCAAGTCACTCCTAAAGACATCAATTTATGCAATGATTATCCATAATGATAACCCTGTGAACCGCTTATAAAAATTATTATTAAAATCAACCATTGATTTTTCTGAGATAAGGGAAATGATAAGATGATAGGGAAAAGGTCAGATATAGTTCCAGATTATCTGTTATGCAAAGCTGATGGAATTCCATTAAAATTTACCCATTGCTTAAAAATGCATGTACCATTTTATACATATTATGCAAAAGAGTAAAAATAATATATTTACAATCATTCAGAAACTGTAGACAATAAGATATTTCTTGGGGGAAAAAAATGCGTTCCAGATTATTTCTAATTAAAATAACCTGATATTATGGTCTGTTTCTTCTCAAAGATTAGCACATTCATTCCTTTGGTGATTATAGAGAATGTAAACTATGCTGAACCAGGGGATTCAAACATGAACAAGACAACATTCCTTTCCTGTGGAACTTACAGTCTATCAGAGAAGAAAGACATTACAAGGTTAAAGATTTAATTATACTACAACTATATACTTGACATAGTTACTAGAAAAGTAAAATACAAGGTACTGTGACAGCAGACAGAAGGAAGCCAGCCTAACTTGCTCTGGGGATTATGGATTTTCTTGGTGATCAAATCTGAATTGGATAGACAGTGCCAGCTACCTATTAATCCTTTCCTTTTCATTCTTTTCTATGCCTATTTTCTCTGTTCTCATGGCCCTGGTGCAGTACTGGAATCCACTTCTACTTTTTCTCCCCGTTGACATTGTTTTACTTTCAGAGGGAAAGTTGTACTAGTGGGATGATTGGTAAGCCAGATAGTTTCATGTAAAAAGTATCTTCCTCAGCTCAGGCCTTGAAGACATCCTTAGTTCTTCCTTTATATACCCTATACTCAGTCCATCAGCAAATGTTTTGGCTCTGCATTCACCTCCACTGCTGCCACCTTAAGTTGCCATCATCTGGATTATGATACTGCCCTCCTAACTGGTCTCTCTATGTCTACTCTTATCTTTCCATAGTCTGTTCCCCACATAGCAAGAATGTTCCTTTGAAACATAAATAAGTTCAAGTCACTCCCCTAATCTTAACTATTCAGTGGTATCCCATTACATTTAGACTAAATTCTGATGTCTTATCACAAGGTTCTACATGAACTGGCTCCTGATTATTTCTGTCTCATTTCTAACTATTCCTTCTTTTGCTCACTCCTCAACTACACTAGCCCTATATCCCTCTTGTTATTTCTAAAACGAAACTGCCTCAAGGACCTGTTTCCTCAGCTTCAAAGATTATTTCTCCAGATGCTCCATAGAAGGAAGATGGGGCACTTTACTTCTGTAAAGATTTACCTCCTCAGAAATCCAGTAGGAGTTGCTATTAGTTGGAATCAACTTGATGGCAGTGAGTTTGGTTTTGGGTTTAGATCCTCATAATACATAAGTCTCTGCTTCAAGGCTTTCTATGACCTCCCTGTCGGAAGTAATATCTCTGTTCCTCTTTATCAAGCCTTATCCTGTTTTACTTTTCCTCATGGCGTTTACCTGACTTTATGTGTATGTATGTGTGTATATATATATGCACACACGCACATACTTCACTTTATTCATTTATTGTCTTTCTTCTCCACTGGAAGAAACTCTTTTAAGTCTTACAAGAGCAGAGATGTTTGTTCTCCATTGTATCCTCAGTGCCTACCTAGAGTACTTCTTCTCAGTAAATTTTTATTATATGAATAAATCCCTTTATCTTGCCCTGGATCTCATCCCTTCTCATCTTCTTAGGGTTCTGTCACCATCAGTTATAATCTTTTCTTTATTTTGAGCCTTTCCATTTGGACTCAACCCTTCCCATTTAAATATGATCAGTCACTTCTAACTTAAAATTAAACATCTGTACACACATATTTTTTAACTTCTCTCAACCCTTCTTTCTCTTTCAGCATGCCTAAGCTCTCTCTAATCAGTACTCTGATTAGAGAGCAAAGCATTTCTAGCAAAGCATTTCTCACTGAGGTCATAGATGGATTCCATGTCATTAAATATGATTAACATTTGCAGTCCTCATCTTACTTGACCATTCAGCATTACTGGCTTTTATGATAATGCGTTCCTGGTTTTTCCTCTTACTTCTCAGATACTTCCTTTTCTGTCTACTCTGGAGATTCATTTTCTTCTAACTGACCATCATGTACTGGAATTTTTCAAGTTCAGTGCTTGGCCATCACAGTCTCTAGCAAGGGTTTTAATAAATGGTTAGGCTTCACTAACCATTTAAATAATTATTTAAAAATCTATATCATTAGCTAATAATTCTCTTCTGAATTCCAGATTTATATATCCAAAATACCTGCCCTCTAGGTGCCTTTGAAGGCATCTAAAAAAACAACATAGCTACAACTAAATTCCTCTTCAGGTTTGGTCCAGGGAAGGAAAACAGACCCTCATAGACCACCACAGTTCCCTATCTTAGGGAATGGCATCCTGTAACAAAAGCCAGAAAACTTGAGTGTTAACCTAGATATACCCCTCTCCTTTTCACCACCATATCCAGTCTGTTGCTAAGGCTTCCTTTTTTTACTTTCTAAATAACTCTAGAGTCTAGTTACTGCTCTTCAATTCTATTGTGTCGTTGTTGTTGTTATGTGCCGTCGAGTTGGACCCGACTTGTAGCGACCCCTCCTTGGGTTTCTGAGGCAGTATCACTATGGAAGTACATTGCCCCATCTTCCTTCTGAGGAGTGGCTGATGGGTTTGAACCACCAGCCTTCTGGTTAGCAGTCAAGTGCTACGCATTGTCATGTTTTATAAAAACACCTGCAAAAGTCTCTGGTTTCTCAATTCTGATCTTGTCCCTTCTCTGAATCCAAAGTCATCTTTTTTGTATAACTTTCTATTTCAAAATAATGTCATATTTACAGTAAATTTGAAAGAATAGTACAAACAACTCCCAGTTACCCTTACTAGTTGGTAACATTTTACCACATTTGCTTTGTTTTTTTGTCTTTGTTTGTGCATATGATTTTTTTTCTGAATCATTTGAGACTAAGATGCAAATGAGATGCTCCTTATTTGTAATTGTATGTCATAGAGTCAGTTCTGACTCACAGTGACCCTATCTTTGAGTGTATTTTTTCCTAAAATGGACATTCTTTTATGTAACCACAGAACATTTATCAAAATCAGGAAATTTACGTTGATATTATACCAGCATCTAGTTTGCATATACCAGGAGTGGCTGGTAGGTTTGAACCGCCAGCCTTCTGGTTAGCAGTCAAGTGCCTTAGGAATTACGCGTCACTTCCCCCTATAATGTCCTTTATAGCAAAAAAAAAAAAAAAATTAACAACGATTTCTGGTCCCAAATCTAATCTAGATCTATCACTGGAGTTAGTTGCCATGCCTTTGTTGTTGTTGTTGTTGTTGTTGTTGTTATGTGCCATCGAGTCAGACCTGACTCATAGCGACCCCTCCTTGGGTTTCCGAGGCAGTATCACTACAGAAGTAGATTGCCCCATCTTCCTTCCGTGCCATGCCTTTAGTCTCCTTTAAGCCTCAGTCTGCCTATCTTTATGACCTTGACGTTTTTAAGACCAAAAACCAATTACATGATATCCTTCAGTTTGGATTTGTCTTATGTTTCCTCATGATTCCAATTCCAGTTGCTATCAAGTCAATTCCACCTCATGGTGACCCCACATGTGTCAGAGTAGAATTATGCTCCATATAGTTTTCAATGGCTGATTTTCAGAAGTGGATCTTCAGGCCTTTTTTCCAAGGCACCTCGAAATGGACTCAAACCTCCACCCTTTCAGTTAGCAACCGAGCACATTTACCATTTGCACCACCCACAAACTCCTTCCTTACAGTTAGGTTGGGCTTATAATTTTTAGTACTTATCTGTCAGTTTTTCATACTGTGCTGGTTTGTGTGTTGCTGTGAGGCTGTAGGCTATCCCACCAGTATTTCAAATACCAGCAGGGTCACCCATGGTGGACAGGTTTCAGGGGAGCTTCCAGACTAAGATAAACTCAGAAGAAAGAAGGGGTCATCGACTTCTCAAAGAATTGGCCACTGAAAACCTTATGAATAGCAGTGAAACACTGTCTGATATATTGCTGGAAAACTTTATGAATAGCCCTGAAACATTGTTCAATATAGTGCCTGAAAATAAGCCTCTTGGGTCAGAAGGCACTCAATATATGACTAAGGAAGAGCTGCCTCCTCAGAGTAGAGCTGACCTTAATGATATGGATGGAATAAAGCTTTTGGAA